GGGGTGCCGAGTGGGCTGAATGGCCCTTCTCTTGGGGTTGGTCGACTACTCTGGGCATGCTGTTAAGCAGGGCTGTTCCCAGCCCAGATGGCTGCTAGGCCTTGCATTATGAGGAGGCTGTTGGCTGCTGGTAAATAGCGCCAGGTCTTGGCATGGCTGGTTTCACAGCCTTGGGGGTTCCAGGGGTGTTGTTTGCCCACTAGTGGCCAGGGCTGCAAGGAACCAGGGGTCCAAAGGCTGTTGCTGACCCACTGATGGGTGTTTCAGATCCCAACACCATTGGCTGTGAGTCCCCAGTGTCTGAGACTGGTATTTACCTGCTGGTGGATGGGTCCTGGTACTGATAATCTAGAAGGATTCCAAAATTGCGCTTGCCAGCACCAGTGCCCCTGTGATAAAAAGAGCTCCCCAAAATGGTTTCTGCCAGTATCTATGTCCTCGGGGGAATCCCAGTGATCTCCTGCCTCTCTGGGAGGCTTCTCCAGGTAGGTCTGACACTGACTCCTATCATATTACTGCCTCTGTGCTGAGTCTAGGAGCTATGAGATTTTGTATTTGTCCTTTAAGAGCAGAGTATCTATTTCCCAAAGCTCTCTGGCTTTCTTGAACACATATCCCACCTGCCTTCAATGCCAGACATTCTAGGGGCTTGTCTTTCCAGTGCAGGGCCCCTAGACTGGGGAGCCAAATGTGGGGCTTGTACCCCTTGCCCCTTGGGGATGATCTCTGCAGTTGTGATTATCCTTTTGTTTGTGGGTTGCCTACCCAGGGGTGGGTCTTTTCTATACTGTGTCTTTGCCTCTCCTGCCCATCTCATTGTGATACCTTCTTTATATCCTCAGCTGTAGAAAATCTTTTCTGTTAGTCTTCAGGTCACTCTCAGGACAGTTTCTCTGTAAATAGTTGTAATTTTGGTGTGCCTATGGGAGGAGGTGAGCTCAGGGTCTTCTTCCTCCACCATCTTGGCCCTATTCCAGATACAAATTTAAAAAGTAAAGAGTCTGAACTGAAAGTGGATCCCAAATGCTCAGTGAAATCTGAAAAGATGTAATAGTCAAAAGATATCATACCCTCTAAACATATTCCTCCTTCACAAAAACTGATTAGTATATAAAGTCTTGAATAAGCCACATTCATTCTCTGACAGATTTATTGTGAAATATACTTCTCCTGTATCTTTTATCTATCTTTCTATTAAGCTTAAACTTCTTTAGCATCTGATTAAATTAGGACCTAGGAAGAGTGTTGTTATTATTATTGGTGGCCATATCCCAAGTTGAAGGTGAATGTCTTAGCTTTGGGGGGAAAAATGCTTTTATTTTTTTCACTCAAGTCAAATAGTTAAACGTTCCTGATGTTCAAAAAGTAAGAGGAACAAAAGTATGATCTACAAGATGACTATCATATTGAATGACTGCATCAGTTTTACCCTCTCTGCTTCAGTCTATACGTGAAGAGAAAATAGTCACTGTGTTTATTATATAAATTTCAGTATTTCCATAGACTACAATGTCTTAGAATTGAAAGGAATTTCTGATATTAGCTTCTCCAATCTTTTGCCCAATGGAGGTGTTAGAGAAAATTTCTAACAGCTAGCCACCAGATTTTTGTTCAGTGCTCTTAGTGAGAAAGATCTTATTTGCCTCACAAAGCAGCACCTTTATTGTTGGGTGGGTCTTATGGTAAGGATGTTTTTCCATTACACTGAGCCAAAATCTGTATCCCTGTTTCTTTCTCTATTAGTTCTAATTCTGCCCTCTGGAGCAGCACCAAATAAATTGACTACGTGACGGTCTCTCAAAGAAAAGTACTATTTATCATTACATAAATGTTAAGTTGTATCTTCTCTTCCATCCAGAGACAATGTTATTTTCCCATAATGTCATTATAGTTGTAATAATTATATACTGTTCAGTCCCAAAGCTACTTTGGAGAGATTGAGTTGAGGCCAGGGTTCATTCAGTTCATTTATTGAATGCCTACAATGTACAAGGATTTGGCAAGGCAGTCAAGAAGCCTAGATAAAAACAAACCCTGTCATGTGAGACAGTCATGTATTGTTGTATTATCTATAAAACTTTGCTTTTTATAATTTGTTTCCTCTGTTTATGCTTTTTAGTTCTTTTAACTTTAAACTCCACTTTGACATTAAAATGCCATTCCTGCTGCTTGACATATTTACTTTTGCCTAATGTCTTTTTGCCCTACCCTTTATTTTTCTTTCATCTCTTTTAAGTATGTCCCTTGTAATAACATTCAAATGGGATTTGAGCTTTAAAAAAGTCAGTCTGCATCTGCCTTAAGTTACTATAACTCTGATCCTAGCATGAAATTTGTTTTGCTTTACCATGAAGTTTGCTATAAATTATTCTCTTGATGATTTTTTTTCATCTTACTTAATGTTTACCATTTATACTACTTTGTTATTTCTTCCTAGTCCTTTTCCCTGTTACTGGTCTGATCAAGATGCTGTTTCCTTTCACTCATTATTTTGGAAAATAATGCTTTCTTTTGAATTTCTGATACTCATAATCAAACACTCATTTCTCCACCATTACATTTTTAAAAGGTACTAACTATATCCCTCTTACAAGCTTTCCCGTTTCCTCCGTGCACCTCCTACACCAATGAGACCTTTAGAATACTTCTGCTTCTCCCATCTTCTCCCACCTCTCAACTTTTACGCATTGCTGAGATAATGCTTTTAAATCTAGACTATTCTTTAGTTTTCTCTTGCAATGTATCTACAACTTCTGGGGAATCCATGTTTAGTGCATATGTTGTAATTCCCCAGGTTATTTGATCATTTTTCATTTAGGTTTAGTTATATAGTTTATAAATGTGTATGTGTATATTTTACTAGTGTTTTCTTTCCTCTTCATCTTCCCCTATCTTGAGATCTCTGATCTGACTAAATTTTTTATTTAGAGTCATTTTTCCAGAACACATTGTTGATTTATTATCTGAATCTTTGCATTTTCACAATATTATTCTTCTATCCTGACAGGTGAATGGTGTCTGACTGGGTATTGGAGTTGGGGGTTGCAAGCCTTTTTTCTTAGTTTAGGCTGATATTAATCTACTATTTTATAGTTTTTGTTATTGTGGGTAAGAAATCCAAAGCCTATATTCTTTTTTCCTTTGTTAGTAAATCTAATCTTTCTGTCTGACAGTTTGTAAGATTTTCTCTTTATCCTTGAAATAATGAAATTTTACCAGAACATTCTCAGTTTTATAATTTGTCATTCTTGCCTAGAACTTAGTAAATCTTATCATTCTCCAAGCTGGAGTCGTTCCAAATAAGTGAAATTTTCCGCTATTCCACCCCCACCCCCACCATTAGCTCTTCTTTTTCCTTATGGAATTTCTCTTAACCTCTATGCTATGCCACTTCCCAACTGTTTATCTCTTGTAGAGCCTTTTGGGTGGATCTCAAGTTCCTCTCCTTACCTCTGTCATCCCTGGATAAAATGTGAAATGATGTCCTAGTTACAAATCTTCTTTTCCTCCTCCTCCTCTTCGTATTTCTCCTCCTCTTCATTCTCCCATCAAATAGTACATTAAGGGAAAGAAAAATGAACAAACTTCTCTACCAGGAGAGATTTGGGAGGACATACGCTATCTCATTGAGACATCATTTGACTTCAAGTTTAAAAATACCTGCTTAAGCAAAGGACAGATTTATGGGAAGATAATAGGGTTGTCTCATAGAACCCAAGACCAAGAATAGGCCTCAAGAGAGACCAAAAACAAGAACTAGAGAATCAGAAGTTCTACTGTTCCCTTTTTTAGATATACATGTCAGATGTCCATGGGGAAAAGGGGGAAACAACCCCATACCCCACAGGGTAAGAAGTTCTTAGAAAACAAAGTGTAGGCTGGACAAATATTCCTCAAAAGCCACCTTTTCTGACCTCCACCATTTGAAGGGAAATGCAAGTGCAGTGCACATTGCCCATTAGCTTTGTATGATTTTTAAGTTGTAACTAAACAGTTCCTTTCAGCTATTCCCTGCTGTCCTGTCCCCCCATAAGCCCTGACATTTTGGTTTTTCTCATTTGATCAATTTCAAGTTAGGCCTTTGCAACCCTTCTAACATCCACAGGATAAGACTCTTGATTTCACTCCATCCTTCTCCCTGGGCCTTTCATCTGTACAGTCAAAGGGGCTAGTGCACTTGTCTCTTCAGCTGACTATCAGGAATCTGCCTCTTTTCAGTCCCAAATTTTCATCCTGTCCCTTTACCCTCTCAGAATATTTTACATGGTCTCTGCCTTCTTTATTCTTTTTGCCTCTACCCTTTCTTTTCCCAGTAAATACCTACTGGCTCTTCATATTTTTAGGGAACCCCACCCACCCTTTTCCCATTAAAGTTCAAATTCTTGAGCTTGAGGGCCCTCCAAAATTGTGTCCTATACCACCTGTCCCGGCTGTTCCAAGTCAAGTCCTTCACTCTAAACAGTTCATTTTCCCCACTGATCTAGAACACCACCAGCTTTATCACAGGCCAATCCTCTTGCTTACAAGGCCATTTCCCATTCCTTCCACCTGTAAAAATTCATCCCATTCCTCAAGGCCTAACTAGATAAGTCATATTCCCTTTAAAGAATCCTAAGTCTCCAACACCTGTGGTGACCAACTGTCCTGGTGTGCCTGAAATTTCCTAGGACACGTAACTTTCAGCACTAAATCTGGGATATTCCTAGGCAAAGTGGGATGGGTAGACAGCCTACCCACCCCTCACTGTCTCTCCTCATTATGCTGCCTTGGTCAGTAGAGCAAAAAGCCATGGAGGTACCAGTCACCACTACTTCCACACTTACAAGCTTCTTTCTCCACAGTGAGATATGCTCCTTTTGGGCAGAGACCTTTTTGATTCCCACTTTATACAGAATATAATGCTGTACTCATGTTAATGCCTACTCATTGAATAGGTGGTTTTATTTTAAGTTGGCACTATATTTAAAATCTTATCTTTATTTGTCTTTATTTTTTTCCAGCCCAGATGACTTACTCAATGCCTTGAATGAGGGTATCAGTCGTGCTGATGTCATCATCACATCAGGGGGTGTATCCATGGGGGAAAAGGTATGAAAAAATGTGGTTCATGAAATACACTTGATTAACTGTGGTCTGGTATCCATAACCAGACCCCCACAAAGCTTGAAGTTCATGGGTCTTCAGAAATTTCTGAGCATTCTAAAAGGGATGTGGTGCAGATAGGTCAGAGAGCTTACCATCTCAAATTACATTCAGAAATGAAGATGTTAAAAATGTAGGTAGGTATTCGCTTTACAGCAAATTGCTGAATCAGTCTTCTCCCAAAGTCTCCTAGAGGTCTTTAGCCTGGGGTGGAGCAGATTGCTGCAGACCTCTCCTGAGATCACAAAGGCTAGGGGCTGAGGTCTGCACTTTAGTGAAGCTATAAGAAATAATTTGTAACATGTCTGTTATCATTAACATCAAACTGCCTGTGGTGCTCTGTGCATCACAAGAGCAAACCCTGAAGTTGAGTACTTAAATGTTAAATTTATTACTTCCAGACTGTTTTATATAAAACTTATCTTGGTTGCTTAATTATGGGACAATACATATTTGGCAGACCTAAAGTTTGCTTTTCCAATACTCCTGAAGAGGCAACAAGCTTATAACTTACACAGGCTTGGCAACTGTGGCTCAGTTATGGTGAGGACAAAGCATTTCGCAACCTTAACCTTCTTTGTTAATGCTAACAAAGATGACATTTATCTTAGGGATTTATTCACAAGTAAACAGAGCCTATATAGTTAAAGCATATTGGTTTTCTTTATTTCACTCTCTGTGTGGTAAGATACTTACACTAAACCTTTAATTTCCTGGGAAGGAGATTTTTGGAACTGGGCTTCGCAGAATATTCTACAGGAGCTAATAATTGTCCTCCCTACCTCCCTGAGGGGGAATGAGATGAAAGAAGAACAAGGAAGAAAGAGATAAAGCATAAATGCAGCAAACTTCTGCCAGCCTGCAAGTTTAATCCCCCCAAAATTCCAGTGTATTTCAGTAGTGGAAAGAAAGAAAAATGTAAGAGATAGAACATCTGCTGAGCCAGAAAACCAGTTACTGAAAAGACAGGGACGTCAAGGAAAGATCCAGAAGCATTATGTAGCAGGCATGAATTTTAAGTGCAGAAACTCAGGTATACAAGAAATTTATTTACTTGATTCAACTCAGATTTTACCTATGCTGCAGAACTGGCAGGAAATTTTATTTATGTCACTATGGGACTAATCACTTCTAAGAATTATGCCAAGGTACTGGGAGCAGCTTGAGAGGCAACAGAACATCAAGGAGACACATCCGGTCACCAGTCTGTGCTGGATACATCTAAAGTGTTGTTGTAGGGCCATTAGACCTCAGATCTTTGCTCCTGTCGACTGAAAAAAAAAAAAAAAAAAAGCACAACCTGAAAGTTGAGAATTATATTTCATTTGGTGGACATACTGAGGACTTAAGCCTGGGTGGCAGCCTCTCACATAGCTGTAAGGGTCTGTTCTGAAATGGTAAGGGAGGAACCAAGATATATAGGAGTTTTGGCAAAACAAAACAAACTAAAAAAACCAAAAACAGGTAGTCAGAACATCAAAAGATTAGTGCTAATTAAAGAAAATACAGACATATCAAGTTGATGGATTTACTACTTTTCTGTGTTTGGGAAGATGCAAGAATCTGGGCTCAATGAAATCATTTCTTTGTTATACATCTTAACTATCTAGGGCCAGTATCCTGTTTTTCTCCATCCTGAATCCCCTCGGGGCAGCTGCAGTAGCTCATGGCTTGATGGCTGCAACATCTTTTGTTTACAAGATAACAGGCAACATTCTTTGTACACACTCCCTTAGGCTACACTAGCAGCAGTGGGATCAAGAGGAGGTGGGGAGCCTCAGGGCAGAGGAAAGGGGGCCCTACTGCTTGTGGGACCCACAGGCCTCTATCATCTTCTCAGCCAAGGAGAAAGGGCTCTTCCACAGTTGCTTCTCTCAGAATCTCTCCCCACCCCCAATCTCCCCCTGTCCCACATAGCTTTTCCAAAGTTTTCACTTTTATAAAACACCAAAAGTTTCAGGTAAACAGTATCTGCTTTTTGCCCTAAAAAATAAAGAATTATGCATTACTATAAATTTTTCACCACGTATGGAATTTTAAAATAGCTCAAAGGCAATGAAAGGTATAGATAACCGAGAAGGATACACGATACTCTAGACTGAACACCCAGTAATTGTTTTTGCCTATTTCAGAGTCTCTTAATTTTTCTTGACAGTGTCTCCCCCACCCTATATGATCAAAATTATCACAAAGATCATTAGTGATACGAAAAAGGGCTGGTCTCATAGGCTTACCCTGAACTTAGCAACAAGAGTGTTAATTAACCATATAGGTCTCTCTTTGTTTGTTTTGCAAATCTAGAGCCATACAGCAATAGAACATTAAAACTAATCAACAATATGCCAAGCAAATAAATACAATATAATTTCTCTTATCATTTCATTCGGCCCTATGTCATTCTAGTTCTGCTAGATCTTGGGTTAGCAATCTGCTTTCTTGAAGCCATCTGCTTCCATTCTATAGAGTCGTGGGATTCTTGACTCAGTCCACTGGTATTATATAAAAGTTATCTAAGCTATATTGCCTCAGAAGCCTAGAGACTATTCTTTGAGTCATCAGTAGTTCAAAATACCTATGATGGTCCTTTTCCCTAGTGCTCTGAACCTTTGCTGCAGACACAAACTATTTACTGTAGCTTATAGCAAAGCCTTCAGGCAAGGATCAGAGTAAACAGAAACTTTCCACAGATGACAGGTATTTAATGACTGTGCTTAATTCATTACTATAACTAATGATATGAGAATAGAAGATAAATAAGATTCTCTATTGGTATGCAGTATGGCTGCTTCATAAAAGTTTTGATCAGTGTTTCCCCAGTAGGTGAAAATATATTACAGACAGCAAGGGCATTGTCAAATCTCCAGACACTTCCCATAAAGCATACAATTTCTGAAATATTAATGAGATTTTACATATATGACTCTAAACTAGAGCCCAGTGAGCCTTTCTTCTCAAATATGACAGCAGCTCTCTTCCCATGAAACTCTTATAATGGTAACGTATCAAACAAACCTAACTATTTCTAACATCTCTTTTTATAAGATGAAAGAACAAATCTTTGTGACCTTTGGGAGGCCCTCTACAAAATTTCTAATATAGTCTTAGGTGTAAACAATACCCTGAAATTTTTATTTTATTTTTTTCTAAATTTCGGTCTGATCTTTAGAAGGAAAAATCAAAAGAGTGGTCAAAAAATAATTGGGTACTTGATTGAAATAGGATGATGGGTACTGGAGAAACAGTACTTGGTTATCTGATTTTTCAAAGCAACAATAAAATATTTGAAAACGAGCATAGAAGTTAACATGATCGTAAATAGTATTGGCTCATTCATAAGTGAGGAACCTTTGTTCTACATTTTTATTTATTTCCTTAAATAATCAAAGGCAAAATAAAAAGCACAAAAAGAATAACCTTTCGTATCATAGGGATAGCATTAACCAGTAAACCAAAGAATAAGTTCATCAAAACTGTGTGAACTTACTAAATTTTAATATATTTCTCAGCTTCATTTTAAACACAGGTATTATAAACCAAGCCAAATCAAAGTCACTTTAAGAGTTTTGTCCTTGTCCTGCTTTTTTTATATTTTTGAACAGACTCTTTACTTTAGAACACAGAGTGGTCCCCAGGCCACGAGGGTACTTGAAATCCTTTAAGTGGGTCTGCAAGGTTAAAACTATCTTCATAATAAAACTAAGACTTTATTTGACTTCTTTATTCTCCTCTCATGAGTGTACAGCAAGTTTTCTCAGTGGCTATATGATGTATGATATTTCATCAGACTGAATACAGAAGCAAGTAGGAAAATCCACCTGACTTCTATTAAGCCAAACATTAAAGAAATGTTTTAATTATAAAACAATACATATATACCAATAAAGCTATTTTCAAAAAAAAGAAAGGGGCACAGGAGAGAATTCTGGGGTGCTGGTAGGTAATGTTATGATTTTTGACCTGGAATAAACTGGTGTTTCTTTACAAGTGTTAAATTTTATTTATATTTTATGAACTTTTCTGTATGTACATTATATTGTACAATAAAAATAGTAGGCAAATTGGTATTTTTTAAATGCATAAACAAGAAGTTACTTATGCTAACATGAAATGTTTCATCATTGTTATTTCCAAATGAGCCAACAAATATATATTTTTTAATTTCTTAGTTTTAGTTTCTAATATAATATATGTCAATAGACATAACCCATTTAAAAAAATAATAATAAAACTGTAGAGATCCTTAATAGATTTTAATTTAAGAGCATGTAAAAGTTCCTGACACCAAATATTTAGAGTACTGGACTTTTAAAAAAAATTTTTTCCTTGAAAAAGAAAGAACATATATAGTTATACTTCTCTATTATTATTGCTCCTAGCATAACTGCAGCCACCCATGTTCCTTATAATAAGTTTAAGAGAATAATTTCTATTGCACAGCAAAAACTAGGGGGAGTAGATTATTGAGAAATCGTATGTAAGCATTTTAGCAGACTAGCAAAGTTCATAAATACTCAGAATACAACTTTCTACAGCCTCATACATCCCTTTTGTAACTCTTAATGTAGCAAAAATGAACACATTCATTAGCATGACCCAAAGATATACCCTCTCAATAGCATATTAAACTATGAAGCAAAATATATTAATTTAAAAACAAAAATGTATTAACTTTGTCATGCTTAGTAAACAGTGATCCAGTATTCTATCTTACTTAGATAGATATCTGGTGATTATTCATTAATTAACTAACTTAATAACTGTTAAAGATTTTAAGTTACTTAAAGATTTTGAAAATTATTTTCAAGCTGATATTCTAAAAACATAATTACTATTGAAAGTAGAAGTTTGTCACAATAATGATTCGATTTCATTGAACCCAGTTTCACATTTTTTGCACAGTCTCAAGTATTATGTAAGAATAGTGTCAGCTTATTTGATGAAAACAC